ATGTATATATATAAAACTATATATATGCATAGAAACCAAAACTTGTGTATATATATATATATATATATATATGAAGAAACCAATAAATGTGTGTGTATAGATATTGAGCTTAGAGTATATAACACACATAATATAAAATCTAAAACTACATTACCCAAGCAATCTTGATTTTCAATTAAGCTTGACTTGGTACACTTGCGGATGAAACTTGAACTTGATCTTTAACTTGAATTGTATAGGCTTCAACCCGACATTCCGCCAACCTCCTTTGGATATCATCGTTGAAGCGCAATCCATCCAACCTCCAACAACGTTGTTTGTCTATAATGAATAGATAATACAAGCACTAGACAAACAACATTAGTTATAAATTGTTTGTTAAATATCATCAAAACAAGAAGGCCAACATTTATGTGCCAGTTGTGACATATGCATGTACACATGTAGGATTTTGGGAAGCTAGGAGGTATATAAGTTTAACTATGTCATACTATTTTTTCTTTGACACGAGACCTCTTCTATAACGTAAAATCCACATGTTCATGTCAACAACACACTCACAACATATAGTATTACGTCAAACGTTATTCATTTCAGCGAAAATGTTATAGTTGTGCAAAGAGAATTCCAGGTCATGGCTAGGATCTTGGATAGAAGTAATAATTTATTGGGGAATTCTTGATGATGGATAGTAACCTTGAGAAGGTATTATTTGCGGCTACAACCATGAAAGAAGACTCAGCCAAATAAGTTTCTATGCATGATTTCAATAATGCTTATGATTGTTAATAATATAATCTGTATACGATTCACTACACTTGCTTATTTGTCCTCCAAATTGTTTCGGTCCCCTAATATTTATTTATAACTTAACTAATAAAGAATCTATTAGGGATACTCTGTTGAAGTTATTTAAGTTTTTAAATGATTAAAGTAAATGTTATGGACAATGAACTTGAATGAGAGGTTAAATATGAAAATTCAAGTAAATACTAACTTAGGTTTCGAAATGATGCTTATATATGTGTCAGACTAACTACCTACTTGTTTTGACCTTTAGAAATAAAAAAAATATTTATATTTTATTATGTTTTATAAGATACAGTAAATGAGAGCATAACAATTGTATAATCACACTATGAACTCATGCTTAGATTCAGTGCTGAAAGCTACAATTACACAATTTACTGTTGGATTTTGAAAAATTGCAGAGGTTATAGAAAAGGGCATTTAGAAGCTTGTAGCTTGCTCAAGTCTTTCCTTTATACACTACACAATCATCCTATAATTTTCACCCAGCTCTATTTGTGTTACTTAGTTCAATTAAATTTTATGAACACAAGTTGCTTTTATTTTCTTGATGTTTGGTAAAGAATTTATGGTATTAGTTTTGGGATCCAAGTGCCATGATTGTTATTCAACAGATATAGAAACATTAAAAGTGCTTCTACCTTAATAATTACACGTATATACATATAAATTTGCATGAACACACACACACACACACACACATATTCATATATGCGTATATACATACATATAAACATATGTGTGCACACACGGATACATTTACAGATGCCAAATTACAATGGGTGTGGTTGACATGAGTCTAGGAAGCAAATAATGGAGGAGCTTGGAGGACTAAAGAGGTCCTATTATAGAGATCCACAACAATTGAACAACTGCGAATGACATCTCTTTGAGTATGATATCAACAAGTGTGATGTCTATGCTTTATACAGATTAGAACTAATATTTGTTAACTCAAAAAAGAGTTCAAAGGCAAAGGTAGCAAGTGATTCTCTTGTGGATCTTCAGTGTCAAATAGGGCGGCTTAATGTAGAGAATGCTAAAGATAGCAGACGATATTCAAAAGGAAGGACAAAGGCTAACCAGAAGGTTGTTAGTGAAAATTTTTATTCAGCTGCCGACTTAGCTAGAAAGGGTTCTTGGAGTTAAAACTATGAGGGAAAAAAAAGGTGATTGTCTTCTTTTATTTCCGTGAAATAAAAATTAGTCATGCTCTAACTTTGAATTATGGAAATGGTGTGTTTGGAGCTTGTGAAACCTTAGTTTGTTGAATCCTTAATGAGCATTTTTAGATTTTATATGGAGATTGTGAAATTTTCATGGGTGAATATATGTACTCACACATTAGGTATTACAAGGCATTAGTCAAGGTTCTAATGCCATGAGCATGAATTTACATCCACATCATTAAACATTACTTTTAGATATATTCTTGTGATAGCATTTGATTGATCTAGATGCAACTAGTGTACTATCACCCAATCAATCACTAAATGTAATTTCATTGTTCAAATGTTATGAATTTTTAGCTTCTATCTATATGTTTAATCCATTGTTTACATTTAATATTTATACCAAATCTTCCCTAAATAAAATTATAAATTAAAAATAAATAATAAATATTTTAACATGTGCATTGCACGTGCAATCCAACTAGTACATATATGTATAGTGGTAAACAAATGAGATATGTTTGATAAACGAGGGCTAAAAATTAGAAACCAATTGAGTTGTTTATTCCTACCTACGGATTGTTTCCAACCTCACTAGATATAATTTCTGTCTAAGAAATCATTTCACGTCTAGCTATACATTTGACTTCAGTAAGTATAGCATATGATATTAGCAGCGACTTGTTACGATGCACGTGTAACATGCTAATATGATGATATTTCTATTTCTTTAGGTTCTTGCGATTGTAACTATAAAGACAAAGCCAAGCTTTTGGGTCGGTTGAAGATGACTATTATGGGTGGAAATGAACTAAATAATTAACTGTTTGAGTAACTATTCGACTATATTTGATTCAGTAGTTCATTTAATATTAACAAATAATTTTTGGTATTTGAGTTCATTAACACAGAGAATTTAATCCAGACATATATTTGATCCATTCATTATTAAAATATTTGAATAAAATTTGATAGCTTATAATTTGTATAATTACCCACATGATGTTATATTTTCAACCCACTTACTATTTCTACTTAAATTCTATATACTAAAATTTGAAAGACTTAAATAATCTTTAATTCGATATATATTCATTATAATTATAAAGGATTAATTTTTATTTATAAATTTCACGTTAAAAACCAAACTCTTTAGTGAAATTAATATATATATAGTTTGATATTCAATAAATATTCATGAATATTCATGATTTTTTTTTTCAAATACCGAGTATTCGAGTTCGAGTTCAAGAAACTCCGGATATGGATACTCGGATTCGGATTCGAACTTGATAATTTTCAACATATTACAAATACCACGACCATAGCATTTGATTTGATTCGATCGTTTGCCACCCATAATGGTGATGCAATGTTCAATGTTCTAATCAATAAAATTAGCTATATAATATTAATAAATTTACAATTACGAAGAAAAAGAGTTCAAGACACGAGTCAACTCGCAGCTTGCACCCTTGTGGGCTAGGTCGGACCCGGCCCCGGAACAATGCGGGTCATGGACCGGGTTGGGCTGCCGAAACAAAGGAGTAGTCCGGCTACCGGGGTCCCGAGATCAGACTGTCTTGGCAAGAAAACCTGGGTTGGTCGGTTCATGGGTTCGGTGCAACCTGGCCCACACTACCCTTACTTTGGACTCCAACTTAGACGCTCTTCGTAACCATAATCTATTTTCTTTAGAACCAGGCTTCATATTAAAAATACTTATGTGACAAATATAGTTCAAATTTTGTATCACTGGAAATTTTATTATTTACTTTTACTTGAATGTTACGATTTTCCCCCCCTTCAGTCCGATAATATCACTGAGTGAACAAGTAGTATGTGTGAGATTTTTGATCAATCCTGAGGAAATTAGAAATCCTAAGGTTGATCAGATTGGTGTATTGTTTTCTTTTTCTTTTTTTTTCTTGAATTTTGTGATTTTGTTCTTCATTCCTTTTGAGTTTGATATCAGTGAGCTGCGTTCAATTAGGTTGGCAACTTTTCGACTGAACATGATCCGACCGACAGTATACTTATCGCTGTTTAAGCTGTTTGATGAGGACACGCTCCGACTCCGAGTGTAATTTATCGGGTACCGACCTGGCTGGCCTCTTCTCTCTCTCGTCTGTCAAAGTCCTGTGCTCGTTTCTAACTCCCGACCTCGACTCTCCTCTTCTCTCTCGATCGCAGGTAATCTCTATTTCTCTCTCTCCCTCTCTCTCCCCGCTCTCCCCCCTCTCCCCCCTACAGTCGAAACCCTAGATATGGCCTAGGGTTTAGGGCGTGATCTTCGCTGCTGGAACCCTAGATCAGAGCTGGTACTCTCGATGTGACCTCCATTGATGGTGGCTTATGTTATCTGAACATTATTTTGACCAATTTTATTTCTTATTTTTTTTTAATAATTTCATTGTGAATATGCATTAGGGTTTGGTGATTTTGATGGATTCTTAGCTAAATCGGGCAAGGAGAGCTTCTCTCATCCCAAAGGTACAACCTTTTTTCTTTCTTTTCATTTTATTGAGAAATTTTCCTTTTCATTCTGTTGTCATTTTAGTTTATCTTTTTGACTGTGGTAGCGAAACCCATTTTGAATTTGCACTTTGGTTAGGTGGTTAATTGTTTTATTCAAATAAAAGAAGGAAGTAATTGGTTGTAAATAAGATGGATATATGTATGAAGTTTTTCTGTGTAGGAGAGCTTTGATTTGCTTGCAGTAGACCTTACATGCGACTTTTATTTTATATACACATATAGGTATGTGTAGTATTTGAATCGTGCCTAATTTTATACTTCACTTTGACAGTAAATATAATGTATATATAGATCCAAACGAACTACTATTTCACTGCTAGCCCGTGGTTAGGTTCTAAGTGCACTCAAGGGAACAGGTACATAAATGATCCCATGAATTTAGAGTCTGAAATGGAGGCAGAACAGGATTAATCATTTTCGGACAGTAGCCGTGAGCTTTATAACTGGTTTAATTAGTTACTCATCAACCGATTATATAGTTCTTTTTGTGAATGAGAGGTGTTGGAAGCACAAGCTATCTACAACTTGCTTTTATCTCAACCATGAGAATGGGGGAAAAAGTTGAAGAGGCCTCATCCTCTTGTGCTGAATTTAGCTTTAGGCCATGAATTGGACATGACCTGAGCAAGTATAATGTGCTGTTTATGTTATTAGTAGTAATTCATGTCTGTTTAGGAGAAATATGGGTTGACAAGCTAAAGTCATGAAACAGGTTCGATGTAAACTGATGATGTATTCACACATAGTCATGTTGTCAATGGAATATAGTAATTGAAGAGAATAGGTTACTAAGCTTAGGCCCTAGTCTTAGAATAAGACTAATAAGATGTAAAACAACAATTTATGCAAGTTGTAATAACATTTCATATTTTTGTGTGTGAATTTTAAAATAGTGAATTTCTTCGAGCTTCAGGCTTTACATCGCTTATTGTTCTAGCTCATTTATCAGCATAGGATTGTAGAAAATCTGCTTATGAACTTTTATTCTGCTTTTAGACTGTGGTATAGTGTGCTTGACAGGCATATTAACAAAATTGGGTTCAGTAAGGTTCATCTTAAACTCTTGTAACAATGTATACTTCAGTTGACATTCCATTGCCCCGTTCGATTCCCCTTTTTTGATACAAGCTGATGCATTGCAAACACTAGTATATTTTTAAGAATACATCAAAGTTACATGCTTTTTGTTGATTAAACTTGATAGCTTTGAATATGGTTGTCTTTTAATCTGGATTGTCACTTCTTTTAATGTGATAGGTTAAAAATGATAAATGATGGATCCAACATAAATGTACAAGGGAAGAATTTGAGAGGAAAGAGGAGGAGGGGGAGAAGATTATTATGATAAATTGATAATGATTAGTTTCACAGTTGCTACCATTGATGCTTGGTACTATACGAAGTACATGTTAAAGGAGAGTTCAAGAACACATGAAGAAAAGGATGAAAGGGCATACCTTAAAAAGTCTTGGATTTGAACTCTTATTTGCAATGCAAATAACTATATTGAACAACTAAGAATGAATCCTCAAGCTTTTAAGAGGTTATGTGATGTCTTGCATATTAGAGGAGGATCAGTAGCATCAAGAAATGTTACGATTGAGGAAATTGTCGCAATGTTTTTGCATATTTTAGCTCATAATGTATAAATAAGACAAGAAAAACAGATTTTTATCATTCATATGAAACAATTAGTCCGCAATTCCACAAAGTACTTCAAGCAGTTATGAATATAGGAAGCCTCTACATTAGAAAAGAATATACAAATCGTAATGAGAGAGACATGGAGAAGAGGTAATGGTTTGAGGTAACTGTGGCTTTTAATTTTTTTTCTAGGTTCCCATGTTTATTACTTTGGTTTTATAGAACTATTTGTAAGGTTGTACAATTTTCGGGTGCTATCGGGGTACTTGATGGGATTCATATCCAATTAACTGTGCCTTTAGAAGATCAAAGTTAATATCGAACTAGAAAAGGGGAGACAAGTACAAATGTACTTGGTGTTTGTGATGTCAATTTGAGATTTAAATAGTGAGTAGTGATTTCTAAGTAGGACAGAGCTAGGATATAGTGGGTGGTGTCAACTGACACCATCCTTGATCAAAGTAAGAAGTTATGTGACTGTATAAAGCGAAGTGACACCCTTAAATCATTTTAATAGTGGGTAGTGATCCATTACTTCTTAATGGGCCAAGCTTAAAAATAAAGTGATCCGAAACGCATTAATTTAAATGACCCAATTCACCAACATATTAAAGAGCTATCATAATTTTGGAAAAAAAATAATAGAAAGTTTACATTGAAGAGGATGTATTTAGTGTTATTTTGAGTGAGGTTATCATGCAACAATTTCAAAAGGTGAGAACAGGTAGGGTCAATTGTAATTGTATTTAGTTAAATATCTTTTGTATAATTGTATATCATTAAAGTTACTAATTATATTGAATGTGAGAAAAATTGGTAATATTGT